AAGACTGGTAATCATGAGTATTGTACTTGAAGTAATCAATGAACTTAGTACATAATAAACAATTAATGAATAAGAGCATTAGCCATATGAATTGCCAACAATGTTCAATAATTGTCCAGGCTTAGATAGTTTATATTACAATGGGTCGAGTCGCTCCATTGTCCGAAAATGATTTTTTCATTATAAGGGGTGTTTTAAAATTGCTATTACAATGTGATCTTTACAGTGTATATTATTATTTATAAATAACAATTACAGTACTATTATTAGCAGTAGTAAAGAGTATTTAGAAATAGTAGTATTAGTAAAAGTGTAGTTGAAAAGAAGAAAAAGTAATACTGTAGTAGAAATGATAAAATGTAATAAGATTTCATTCAATCATTATGAATACTTAAAAAAAAAAAAAAAAATCTTCATTTTAAGTACAGTAGAACACCTTGTAATTACTGACATTTGTAATATTTACCTAAAAGCCTTTGCTTATAATTGAATGCACTTTATCAAATATACTATGTATTTAAATATTATTACTCATTAACTGTTTTCCTAACTAGGTTATAGTTTATGCTAAAAAAATTTATGAGTAGTAATAAAAGATGAATAATCAAAATTTGCAAGTTAATATATGGCCAAATTGAAGTTTATGTATATTAATTACTATACTTAATATTCTATGCCAGCTGAACTACTGTAATCTAAAATGTCAACATATTTATTAAAAAAAAATTACCACTGTACTCAGCTATTGCCAAGGTGATAAGCACTATAGTGGTGATAATAGGTTAAGTTAACAAACTACCTGGTTTTACTCACTACTGTAACCCATTAAACTGAGTGAAAATGATACAGTATTTACAAATGGTAATCTAATCTGGTATTAATTAAATCTGAATATTCTGTATGGGTCTACTAGAGTTAGGAAGCTATGAGGAACATCCACAAATTACTAGCAGGCCTCTTAGGCCAGCATGTGTGGTGACAACAGTACCTTCAGCTGCTTCAAAACCATTGAAATGCACAGGCCATGCATAGTTCACCATGGAGGAGAGCCATGGGTGGATGTTAGTCAGGGAGGTGCCAGTGTACTTTGGTGGCTCTGGTGCTCCTCCCTCTGGAGCTTTCTCCTCAGGCTAAACATGCAGGCAAGAGCAAGAAAGATCCATGCATTGTACAGTATCACATATTGGTGGCCAGACATGCACGGAAAGAAAACTTCAATTGCAAACAGCAAAGAGAGAATACATGTTATGTAAATGGGAGACATATACTTGGCACAACAATGATAATAATGCAGGTAAACAAGGTTACATATAATTGCACATGACACACAATATACAATGATGCTATACAATTGTACAAAAATTGCTATTATAAAATTAAAAAAATTATGGAGATACTGTAGTAGAGAAAGAATAGAAAAAATATATACAAGAGAAATAAAGTGTCAAATGCAATGAAATGCCTATTACTGGTATGTCCTTATTTGTTTCCTGAGATAAGTCTAAGGAACATGCCCCAGGCCTCAAGATCCACCTTTGCTGACCAGGAATCAGGATTAGAATCTAAGTCAATGATGCGAGAAGAGTTTGGGGATTAGAGATCAACTGAAAACTGATAAAAAAAACACACCAGAGAGAATAAGTGCAACAAAACAAAATAGCTACTTGAAAAAAAATAGGTACACGATGGTAAAGAAATGATTATTGCCGCAGGATAAACAGCCTAATCGTAATGCAGCTGACTGCCACCAGGTGGCAGCCTAGGTTATTTGAGGTTCCAGCCAGCCAACCCTCTAACTCATGAGCCACACAAACTACACTTTTCCTCCCCACAGAAAAACAGAGAACATAGTGTGGACAGGGTGCTACCATGTTCCCACAAGAAAAGGATATTTCACTATATTCAATACTTGATTTGTGGAACTTCCCCCTTCTGTAGCTTCCTGAACTAACTCAGGAAATTAGCCACACCTAACAGGTGTGGCATGGCTGAAGGACATCCAATAAACAGCATGAGGCCAACACCCAGTTAAACACCATAAGCTCCAAGACCAGAAATTATCAGTGGGCACATTAACTAAGAAAGCTGTCAAGAGTATCAAATTTCCAGACATCATAAGAGAGGATACATCACCATCTGGCTGAAGTGAATCATCTTATAGCTAACCTGAGAAAGCCGGACCTTAGAACATGAAACGTGAGTCACAGGGTTGACGAATAAGACCTCCACCCTAAGAGTATGAGTAACATACCAAATAACGCTGCATCACTGCAATAAGATGGAACATATGATGCACCAGTTGCTGAACAAAACAGGCATCAGTGATTAACAGACCCGTCTAAAAAATTCTCACTTTAGCCAAAAATGGAGAAAGCTAGAGGTGAAGAAACCATTACCTAGCAAAGCTCCCCCCCCCAACCCAACAAGTGCCAGAAGATAAGCCATTTTGAAAAAAAAAAAATCCTAGACCAAACCTAAAAGCGAGAAGATAAAAAAAAACTCCAACACAGTCCATAAACCAGCAAGGCTTCAAAGGAGAATGAGCCAGCTCAAGATGAAAGAATACTAGACACAGCCTAGGAAAGAGGAACAAGGACAAACCCACCCTAAATGTCATCAAGAGAGATTCTGCCAATGCTGAACAATATGAAGTGACAATATTAGGCATCAACTGGCAATCAAAGAATAGTCAGAAAAGAAAAAATATAGCAAGCACAGACACAGAAGTCTGATGCAAAAGAATTGGATTGCTTTATACCTCTTTTTATCACTTACTATGAACACCTGACTTCCATACACATGGAGATAGAGAAAGCCTAAAAGCTCCACACATGAAGGTTGCTGAAGAGCCACAAACCATCCAGGTAGGTTATTCCACCACTGTAGTGGTGGTGCACCAATAAATCACTGCAACTAAATCCAAATGAAAATGGAGAGCAGAGCCCACAGGAGATTGAATGGGGCTTTGCCACATCCGACTGCCACAAATTCCTGCACTGAAATGCGTGTTTACCATAAAGAGGGAATCCACTGTCCCTAACTAGCATGGCAAGAGCTGGAGATGAAGCCCCATTCTAGGTCTGATGAATCGGTGAACAATACAAGTGACAAAGGAGGAGTGCACCACAGAAATTAACCCTGAAAGACATGAACAGGAAAATAATGACAAGATCTGTCTTCAAGCAAAGTGGGGTCCTGCACTCATGGTCCTGAACAGGGCAAAATGCCTACCAGAGATGGTAATAAAGAACCTGCAACACATGACCCAGAGGGTAAACAATTCAGGTAAAATGCTGAGCCCAAATGGTGCTCATGGTTGTGACAAGAAAGTCAAGGTCATCCTCAGCAACAGCTGGAAATGGCAGCACAGCCACAGGACCAACCACAAGAGAGATGGAGGTTTGTCCTGGTCTCTCAAACGAGTCAAAGTGAAATCAAGACTTGAGAGGACACCAACTGGAATTTCCGATAGTTGACTAAAAAGAAAGCAGGCCAAATGGGAAAAAAGCAAATTCCTGACCAGCAGACAAGCTGAACGACTTAGGGGGGCCACACCAGCCAGTTACTGAGTAGGTCAGAACCTGGGTTCCTTCAAGATGAAGCTATTAAAGTAACAAATGATACAAGTGAATATTCTGTTCAGAATAAAAAGACCAAATGTGGGACAGGATACTGTGAACCCCAAGTCAATCCCTAAACTTGAGTGGATGGGAACATGTTGGTAGGCATCCCAAACATATATGAAATGAGAAAAGAATTGCTTTAAATCACCTGGTGAATGTTATATCCACCCATGTTTTAACAAACGCTTCTCTTGAACTATCTGAACTGTACAATTTGTACGGAAATTTTTGCTTGTAATAATTTTAATTATTTTCCATTTATCTTTTTTATTTTTTGGTGAAGAGGGCTAACCTCTTATTTCAATATTATTATTGAACATAGAACATAGACATTTATGAAACTGCAGAAGGAGCATAGGTCCAATATAAGGCAGTGCCTATTAATATTCAACCACACCCATTTATGCATGTTTAACCTTTGCCTGAAACAATCCATGAGCATGTCCAGATCATGTGTATTGTATTGCAACATGAAAGACACACTCATCACACGTAGAATGAATGCATAGATATGTAATGAATGAGTAGGCTAGTTTAAAGAGAGTACATTACCAGCACCACCTAGAGTTAGGGTAGTCAAAAAGTAAAGAAAAAGTGTACATTTATCAAACAGGACAAAAATTTTAATATCTGGCATAAAAATAAAGATATACTGGATAAAAAGCGCTTTCAGGAGGAAAATGGATGGTAGAACAAATTATTTTGTGCCCAAATAAATGATCTGCTACATGTTTTCAAACTTCATACTCACTTTAAAGATTAATGCTTCTCATTCCTCAGTTAATCTTTGCCAATACTGCATGCAAACCTTTTCTTTTAATGCGTCCACACTTCTGGTTTGTGTGCAATTGCTGTATAATAACTATTTCAGCCTTAATTACCGTAGGCAAGGTGGTGATGTTAGTTTCTTGTTTGACATACACAAATCACAGTGAACATTTAGAACATATATATGACAGTAATGCTGGTTTGTTGACACCTTGACAGGATCATGTCAAGTGTTTTGGTGAAGTCATCAAACTTCACCTCCTACTATAGGAATTTAAAATACAATTCAAGAAGCAAAACTGTAAAGTAAATTATTAATAAGTACTGTACTGTAAGTAGAATGTTTTGTGTACTTAAAATAAGGAACAAATACAGTATTGGGATATAAAATAATTAGAAATATAATAAAAGACAAACAGTACATGAATAATGCATTGCAAATACAGTGACATGCAAAAAAAAAAAAAAAAAAAAAAAAAAAGTAAAAAGTCTCCCAGGGGATAATTACATTCTCTATGTTTCAGTTTTCTAATGAAAAACATAGCTCCTCAAAGAGGAAATCATAACAAAACTCATGCAAGCAGGCTTGACAGTAGCAAGCAAGGTTACCTTCTGCCACATCAAACCCCTGGAACTTGACCGGCTGGCAGTAGTTGACGTAGGAAGAGAGGACAGGGTGGACGTGGGTAGTGGCGCCTGTGTACTGGTAGTAGAGAAAGGCTCGCTCCTCGGCCGTCAGGGGCTTATCATCTTCTAGCGAGGGCTGCGACACAGGGGTGGTGATGGTAGTGCACGAGTTACTCTACGAGGGACAGAGAAGGAGACAAGAGGCTGGAGAGGTAAGGCGAGACGAGCTAGTGGCGAGGGGGAAGAGCTGATGCTGGCATGGCTTTCGTCTTTTGAGCCTTGACTTGGGAGAGGTAAAGGGTATCTCCATACTGCATAGCATTAAGAGGAAGTTGGGGTAAATACAATTGCAAGCAACAAAAGTAACAATGGAGTAACTTTTCTTAATAATATAAACAACAAGTAGAATGAAATATCATGCTGTACAACAAGTTTGGAAATGAATGACAACAAATATACAATGTTATATTATAAATGCAGTGTAAAAGATGGAGAGGTATGAGGCTCAAGGACACAGGCAACACCTATAGGCTGAGGAGTGCAATTTGACCAGAACTCATTAATAAAAGATTGCATGGCCATCAGAGAACTGTTCACACAATTTGTGCATATCCCAAGTGTACATAAATGTACACTATACATATGTATATACCAAATTCTTCATCATAAATTTGATTACATAAAGAAAATATTGGAATTTGAGTAAATAAATGAACAAAGACTACACAAATACCCAGCAATCTGCTTATAAGAGTATTTATATGCAAGTTACACTCATAAAATGCATGTATACAAGCAGTCATTAAGGACAAGTTGTACCAGATGGTGCTGTGCAAGTGTTCAGAGGGACCTTGTGGTTAGCAAAGGGCCAGAAGACATTCATTCATCTTGGATAACATCTTATTTTAGGATTTAAATTATGACTGGCAATTATTTAGATAATTGGGAGGGGGGGGGGTTAGAGTTAAGATAAAAGTTTCAAAGAAAACTGAGGGATCAATAGAAAAGCTGCAGAATTAGCAAGATTAGCTGTTTGATGAGTTAGATTTAGAAAAGAGTAGAAATGGAAATTCATTTGGAAATTTTAAACTAAACTGAATATCAAGAGTTCAACAAATTTAATAAACTTAACTAATATTAGACAAGTAAAATAATATTCTTTTTCCATAGGAAATTTAATTTATTAAATTAATAATATTCATAACTAATGACAATCTTTATAAGCAGAACACTAATTGCAATATAATTTCTAAATATATGTTAACTTTAAATCAAATTACTGTGACCAAAGTCTTGTTCTTATCTAGCCAGGATAAGAATCATGACAAAAAGTGACAAAACCACCATTACTCATAAGATGTTTGATTTGATTTTTTACTTCTGAAACAATGGTATAAATACAAAAAATACAAAAAGTGGTCCCCTCATTAGGTCTCCTTACTTAGTCACCAACACCAACACTATTACCTATACGCCAGGTTCGTGTGACACTTTTGCCCACCAAGATCACGCACCGTGTTACATAAAGGTGCGCTCACTACGTGCCAGAGAATACGTCAACCTGTTCTCGCAAATTTAATAAGTCAATATTGACTTATTAACTACGTGCATAGGTGATATACTAAACATAATAGAAACCCTTAAAAAGATTCATAGAAAACACCGACCTTACCTAACCTACTTAGTATGTTAAGGTAAGCATCTTATTGCTTCATAATTACAATTATTACCTAACCTATAATAGGAATAGGTTAAGTAATAATTGTAATTACGAAGCAATAAGATGCTTATCTTAAGATACTAACAAGGTTAGGTAAGGTCGGTGTTTTCTATGAATCTTTTTAAGGGTATCTATTATGTTTAGTATATCACCTATGCACGTAGTTCACAAGTCAATATTGACTTTACGAATTTGCGAGAACGGGTTGAATACGTACAGGATCAAAGATCAACACTCTTACTGAGGAACCACATGTATTGTTCTCAACAATACATGTGGTTCCTGTAGAGACTACTACTATCCACTGCCACTTCCATAAAAAAAATTAAAAAAAACAAAACAAAAAAAACTGCCACTTCCAAAATAAGGATAATAATATGTGAGAACCAGGCTTTAAGAATCTTTCTTTTTCCATCCATATTACAAGCATCCAATATTACAAACAGCCTTCCAAGTCCCCAATTATTTTTTACATGCTATACAAACCACCTTTGTTGTCCCCTATAATATCTACAAAGCCATGTGATGTGCTACAAAAGGATATCAGTTTGTTGACATGTGTTGCCACGTCACCAATATTCATAACGATAATCCAGATTTGGCAATTCATTGGTTTGTTAAAGAGTTTTGTCTGGTAACTGGATCTTCAAACCTCAGTGGTGGGTTGATCATTGATCCATGTAAGCTCCCCGCTACACAGAGGGAGGTAAAATGGTGTTCAGTTGCTATGGGCAAGAGTTAAGTCACAGAGGCCTGACATTTTGATAATGACCCTCGAGTGCCATGACATAAGCCAATGTGAGTTACTCAAGTGTAACCCAGAAGGTGCCATTCTATTGTATTCGATCCCCTAGTTTTATTTTTTTTTTTTTTTTTTACAAAACTCTTAAAACACTATGCTAATAATACACAAAAAGCTTGCCTGAAAAGAAACACACATACCCTGTCCATTCAAATTAAAAATGTAAAATACCAACACTCATTACTTCCTGCTGTAAATGCACCCATTTCTAATTTCTTATTTCTTGTACAGTATATCAGTGACTTGTTAAACATATACATATATTATTAGTTAATGATAATACCGTCATCTTCTCTTAGTCCCAACCCATACACCCGAAATGATGTACAGTAGTTAACAAAAAAAAAAAAAAAAAAAAAACGTTTAATGTAATATGAAACGCCATTTTCTGGGCGAGACCCGGAGGCTCCCCGGAGCTTATCCAGGCTGATATACTAATGTAAGACTTTGGCATCAATCATGTGTATAGAGTTCTGTGGACCTACCAGTGACCACGAGCCAAAACCTGGCCCCCCCCCCCCTCAGAGAGGCATGGGGAACAATGGTCCATAGAAACCCTCGTGAGGTTGGAAGCATGTCGGTGTCTGTCATCGACCGGGTCAGGCACCCAGAATGGTAAGCGTCCCAAAACAAACCCCTATTCTGGTGAAAATTGCTACCAAAAGCCAAACAAGTGGATAGAACTCCCCAAAAAGAAACAAGCAAACGAGCATGACCTCACACGTCGCCGCGCCGAAGTCTGCACAGCTTCCCCCTTCCAGGGAGGAGGAAGGGGGGAGCCCCAGACCCTCGCGCCAGTTATCCACCCTTCAGTTCTGAGGCTAGATGTCAAAACACACAAAAAAATGCCGACTGGAGGGAGGGAAGGATGCCAGGGAGCCTCCGGGTCTCACCCAGAAAATGGCGTTTCATTACACTCAACACTGGTTTTCTGGGGGGAGCCCCATCGGCTCCCCAGAGCTAACTACCCACATAGGAAAAAAATAGGGACTTACCCGGAAGGCGGTTGCTGCTCACTCCTCAACTCTAAGTTGAGACAGACGCCATCTTTAAAAACAGACGCCATCTTTGTAAACAGACGCCATCTTTAAAAAAATCGTGGTTCACATTCCCAGGTGTGAGAGCCTCAGTAGTGAGTGAGCAACCAAGGCTGGCGCTCGCAGCATGGGCGCACAGCACTGCTGTTCAGCGTGTGACCACAGCATCGCCTAATAATGTCAAAATATACAGTATATATAATCTGTATTATTTAGCCATGATAGTATTATAGAAGAGCCTGAGTGTGATAATGACTGGGTACAATGTTCAAATATCAGTGATTCAATGTTGTTCACGATGTTCACAGCGCTAGCCACAACACCACAGCATTATTTGGTCCATCTAGGAATCTTCAAAAGACTTTTTAGGTTCCTTTTCAAAATAAACATGTGATTAATTATTCATTTACAGGAATTAGTGACCATGATTGTGGTTATAATTAGCGTTGTGCATAGTATTGTAGGAGGAGGAATTTTGGTGAGGGAGAGAATTGAGGTAGCCTCACAGTGTGGCAGCCACTCTTGTTTTGCTCACCATACTAGCTTCGTGGTTCGCTATGGGGAACACATATGTACATGGGTATATACAGTGTGTGTGTTATTACCTAAGTGTCCGAAGACAGTTCCAGGAGAGAAAAGAAACGCAAGGCCGAAGCCAAGAGGCCATGGGTGCGCAAGTCCTTAGCAACCTGCACAGCCGAAAGGGAGGGAACCTGCACCTGGAGCTGCACTATGCCAACATCCCGGGGAAGGGATGGGGCAAACAGGCACTCATTGAGGTGCTCACGGTCACCCCCCAGGAAAACCTGAATCACCGTTGAAGCCTCGAGCCACTCAAGCGTGCTGGAACGACAGAAGGAATGCCAAGCCTCCAAAGCAAACACAGGACAATCTGCCAGCCAGGACGACTCCGGAACCTTATAATGGACTCAGAAAGGAAACGAAGGCCCAAACCTGAAAGAAGACTGATCCATAAGCGAGGCATAATCCGGGTCGCACAGGAGGTAAGCCGCTAGAGCTGCCCGCACAGCAGACAGAAGGATCCGGTAAGACAAAAACCTCCGGAAAGATGGAACCAACGCACCCGGGGGGACACTGAACCGAACCCGGGGAGGGGCAGACACTAAATCTAACTCATACGCAGAAGGGGGGGGGGGGAAGAGAACCCCCACTCCTTGTCACAATAAGCCCCGCTCAGAGGGCAGAAAAACCCAGGCAGGGTCCAGTGGGGCCCAAGAGCCCAAAGTCAGCCCCTCCCCTGCCCCAGGTTCCTCCTCCACAGGATCCGGGGCCGAGTCATCCCCCAGAGCACCGGCCTATAAAGAAAGGGCCGGCATAGCCGCATAAGCCGGACAGAAGGGGGGCCCCAATGGTCAGACCCGGAGGTTGTGGCAGGGAGATCGGACTCGAATGCCTCCGTCGCCACACCAGAAGGGGCATCCCCCCCGAGACTGTCCAAGTCTCTATCTAAACCCTGCCCCGACTCCAAAACCCTCAGATGCTTCGAGGCCGGAAGCCGGAGGGGAAGGGGGGGGGGGGTGGGGGGGTGGGACTGGAACGAACCACAACAGGGGGTGCGGACTGAACCAAGGTCGAAGCGACTCCCACCCCCAAGT